GGGACGTCTGTTCTGTTAGCAGATTCTCTATTGCTTGCTTCCTTTGCATGCTGCATTAGTCAGTTTTTCATCACTGGGATAAAATACCTGCCCCACTGAGTTTACAGGAGAAAAGGCTTGCTTTGGCTTCTAGTTTCCATCCACAGCCAGCTGACTCCAAGGGAGAAAGGTCAAGGTGGAAGGACGTGGCCAGAGACCGACATAGTTCTCAGGGCCACACCCTCCTGGCCAATTCAGACACACCCGGAAGTGAGCTGTATTAATTTCCCGGGCATCTCTCAAGCAACCAACTGACAACCAAGATTAAGCATCACACATCCAAACTGCCTGGCAAAGAACCGAGGGCAGTCTTTGTTCAACAACCTATGTGGAACCAAATGCTGCCAGTTACCACTGGGTGAGTGTGGAGGTAGATCTGTCCCAGGTTGAGCTCTCAGATGAGCTGGAAGACCCTGAACTAATACCTTGATTATGACCTTGTGATCAACCAGGAAGCAGAGGATTTGCTTAACTTGTACCTGAAATCTTTTTTTTTTTTTTTTGAGACAGGGTCTCACTATGTAGTCCAGGCTGGCTTTGAACATACTATGTAGCCCAAGCTGGCTTCAAACTCACAAAAATCTTCCTGCCTCAGCCTCCTGAGTGCTAGTATTACAGGCATGTGCCATCATGCCCAGCTGTACCTGAAATCTTTGCCTGTAGAAACAACGAGATGATGTGTATGTGCTGATTTTAGGTGCTGAGTTTTGGGTAGTTTGTTACATAGGTTTACACCAGTGGCTTCCTCTTATTCCTTGTCTTGCTTCCTCTACTGTGTTACAAATTTTTCCTGGAGGCTTTTTCTCAGTAAGTCATTTAGGGACATGAACCATCCCCAGGACAGCTTGTCCTATGCCACAGATTCTAAGGGTGGGATTCTAAAGCTGGATAATTCACCTGCCAAATGGCAACAGGACTATCACAATGTAAGAGGAGTGTTTTTGTTTTTTGTCTTTTTGAGGCACGATCTCGCTATGCAGTTCAGGCTGGCCTTGAGCTCACTTTGTAGCCCAGGCTGCTCTCGAAAGCGCAACCATCCTCCTGCCTCAGCCTCCTGAGTGCTGGGATTACAGGCTTGCGTCACCACACCCAGCTTGAGCAGTAATTCAAAAAAAGTGGTAGTTTGTTGATTTTCTGTGCCTACTAATGTACTAAAGAAGAGAAAATGACAAGGTCATTCCCACAATAAAGCTTGGTGTGATAGTGTGAAAGCCTCTAAGACAGCGGGCTTAAGGTAAAGCATAGGATCTGCTTGTAAGAGCAGCAGAGCCTCAGAGACATCTAAATTAGAGCGTCTCTCAGGCTGAAGTCCTGATAAGAAAGATGAGACACGCTGAGATTGGAAATGAACGTAGTTGGGCATACTAGACAACAGCGATCCTCCAGAGTCTCTTGAAGCCCCTGGGCCTGAAGAAATGGACAACTTCCTCTTGCTAGAGGGGAACAAGCCCGTTCCTTAGCTGAAAACTATGCAGAGGCTGTCATTGTAAGGAATGACGGAGGGGTTCTAAGGACAGCTGTGACATTACCAAAGAAGCTTCCTAGAGGAGTGGGTTCCCACCCTGGGGTGGTAAACAGTTGCCAGACCGGCTGCCGAAACAAGAGTCCTAAGACATGCTTTGGGAATTTGCCCTACATACCTTTCTTTTAATTGTCTCTCCTCTTTTTTTCTTGTCCTTGACTTTCAGGTTCCTTTTCCACTTTCAGACGCACTCTCCTTGGGGCAGAGGGGAGGGGAGGGTGAGACGCCAGTGCTCAAGATCGGCATCAAAGCACGTCAAATGCATGTATGAAAATGCTGCAGTGAAACTCAATTAAAAAACAAATGCCCTCTTCTTTGATCCTTCACATTTATCTCGAACACCAGTTAATTATTATGACTTTGGTTCATGTACCTGCTTTATTTAAAGTTATTCAACTCAGTCCTTAAATGCTTGGTAACCGTAAAGTTTTTCCCTTTGGAAAGCCTTCCTAATAAGCCTCATGAAATGTACTTAGTTCTCTTCGGAGTCTGAAAGTAAATCAAATTCTTTTGATAATTTTTTAAAGTACGGATTTTCGTATTTCTCTTTTCCCTGCACCTTTTCAAACTAAATAGGAGCTCTCATTTTAACGGTTGTAGTTTGTCACGATGTCAGACCTTCAGGTTTCTGTCAGGGGCCGTACGCTTGTCGTCTTCTTAGGCAGCAGCACCTGGAAAGGCAGGAGGGGCCCCAGACATCATTGTGATGCACGTGAACTAGGGAGGGGCCTTGTCCCCCAACTCCCGCACTACACCCTGGACGGCAAAGCTCAGGTTAAGTAAAGCCTCAGTATCCCCTTTACTCTGTAGCTTTTTATAAAACTGTGGTCAGTACGGTCTCCAGGTCATTTCCATTTTAGCTTCTTGTCATCTCTCTCTCTGCAATTGCACAGGGAGCCAGATGGTAGGGAGTCACCAAGGCCTTGAACTCAGGACTTCAGCTGATTGATTACCCCACCCAGCTTTCTTAGGGTGGGGTGATTTAGTGTAACACTGACAGAGTTTTCATTTCATCTATTTTTCTCATTCTTTTCTTTTAAAAAATGACACAAATCAGTATTCGCTGCCATTTTTAAATGTGCGAGGTAGGCCTGGTTACATCCCTTTAATATTTCTGTAAGATGGGAGGAAAAAACTTTTTTATTTGTGTGTTTTTCTGTCTGTCACAGCAAAACATACAAAGGAACAAAATACAAAAGGAATAGAAACATACAGAGGAATAGAAACTTTCATAATATAATTTAGTTTTGTTCTTTTTTAAATTTTTACTTTATTTTTTGCTTTTTGAGACAGGGTCTCGCTATGCAGTTCAGGCTGGCCTTGAACTCGCAATGATCCTCCTGCCTCAGCCTCTTGAGTGCTGGGATTACAGGTGTGAGCCACCACACCTGGCTAGTTTTGTCCTTTAACTAATGGATATGTGCCTCGGTCATTGGTTTTTTACATAAGTAGATATGGAAAAGAAAATTGATACCTAGGAGATAGATAAAATGTGATAACATATTCTTTAAAAAATTAAGATATAATTCTTATATCATAAAAATCTATTCTTTTAAAAAGTATACAGCTCAATGATTTTTAGTGCCTTCACAAGGTTATGAAACCATCACCACTAATTCCAGAACATTTTCATTGCCCTTAAAGAAGCCCTGTGCCAGTTACTAGTCCCTCTTCATTTCCCTTCTTCATGTCCAATTTGGGCTTCAGACTTCCTGACATTACCTGTGTGTACACTTTTGACCCTTCTACTCTGCAAACATATATGTTATGGTTGATACATTATGTCAACTTGAGGAGTCTAGAGGTTTAGCTAAGTGACTCAGCAGTTTTATATCCTGGGGTGCAAAGGACATGCCTTTCCTGCTCTAGGATGTTGTTTATTGTGGCATGTGAGAAGTTTAGAAGGTTAACTATGTGAGTGTCGCCCCCTGGGTGGGGGCAGCCTGCTTACAATATAAGGAAGGGAAAGAGGCTTGCATGCACTGTCATTTTCCCCTTTGCTCTTGTTGCTTTGTTATCTTTTGCCTTGGAGCCAGCCAAGTATGGACTAAAACCTCCACAAGCTGTATGGTAAATAAACCTTTTTTTCCTTCATTTTGTGCATTGGGTGTTTTGTCTCAGCAACGAGAGAAAAGTAACTAAGACAATATACTTATACCCACATGTACATATATACACATATACCCACACATTTATATGTGTGCTTTCATATTATATATTTGCATTCTAAATTGCAAAAGAGTCTTACCTTTACAGAGTTCTGGTATCTCACCTATTAGATTTTTTTTTTCTTTTTTTTCTGGTACTGGGAATCAAATTCAGGACCTTGTGCTTGTCAGGCAGGTGCTTGTGCCGCTGAACTATATCCCTGGCCCCTCACCTATTAGAACTTATTAGATTCTGAGGAAGCAATAAATCCACATGCTTAGTGAGGAGCTTTGCTCACCATCATCTCTCTGAACTCAACTTTAGCTCCTGCAATATTCATACTACTTTTTCAAACGCTCATTCTCCTGACAGAAGAGAAGGAAGCAAAATAGAAGTCCATCCTTTCTGCTTTTTCTGTGATCTATTAACATTGCACCATAATCTGGAGCCCACAGACTTATACCTCCCTGGTTCTTGCTCCAAAGATACTTTCTGGGTAATCGTGTCTGTCCTTGCTTGCTTTTCTTCTTCTCAGGAACAATTTCCAAGAGTCATTTTGGAAATTTAGTTGTGAAAGCCCCACTCTCCTTGTGTAACCTTCCCTATAGATCCACAGACCGAGGCCCCTTGGCTGTGTTCTCTTCCGGCCGCCACAGAGAGAGAACGTGCCGCCTCCCAGACCAGGTTGTGCTTCCCTGGCAGTAATCACTCCAGAATGACAAAGTCCCTTTGTCCCCAAGGTTCCTGTCACTTCATTTTCACCTAACAGTGCTCTCTTGTTGGTCCAGAAGAGCAGTTTCCCTCATTATTTCCTCCTCTGAGAGACCATGTTGTCAGGTGGAATTTGACAGATGCACTTTTGTAAATGGAATGGGACATTGTCTTTATAAGATCTTTGTAGCATGTGATCCATTTGTTTTTTGTAAAAATTCATGAACTTTGTAGAAATCCACCCAACAGCAGGGATGAAAGGAGAAAGACTATATCTTGAGCTGAGAGAAAATGGGGTCACCTGGACACATGCTTTGTTTTTCTAGAAAGTGAGATCATTTTAATCACCACCTTTTTGGAGTAGCCAGATAATTTCTTATGCTGGTGGATCATTAAGTTAGGATTCTGGCTTTACCCTAACTGTATGACTTTGAGAAAATTACACATCCTCCCTAGCCACTGTGAGGTGTATGTGTTTGTAAAATAAGAATAAGAATACCTAGCTTATAGAAGTGGTGGGAGATTAAATATGGTTGCTAAAATTTTTGACATGTCTCTTTCTCTTTTTGACACTTGACAGGTGAACTCTATGCCTCTGCTTCTAAGTAGGGACTGTACGACTGCCTGACCAAGATAGTGTGCAGAACTGACAATGTGCTACTTTCTGAGCCCAGGCCATACAAAAGACTGGCGGAGTCTATTTTCTTTTTCTTGGAAAGTTTTCTTTGGAGACATTGAGTCATTGTGTAAAAAGTCCACATATCCTGAGACCACCACGCTGTGTCTCAGCATGAGAGAGCCCCAGCCGAGCCTTTTAGCCATCCCCATCAAGGTGACAGGCATGAGAGATGTCATCTGGTGTTCTCCAGCCAGCCTACTCACTAGCTCAGCACCAGCAAGTGTCCCTGCTGAGAGCAGTAGATACCACATGGAGTCAGGGAACTGCCTGACTGAGTCCTGATTGAACTCTTGACCTACAGGATCATGAACCTGGATTCATGAGTATTCAGCTGGCTGGCGAGTGGCAAGGGACAACTGGAAAAGAATTTGGTACCTACAAGTGGGGTGCTGTTCTGTAGAACTCTAAAACATGTGGCATTGAGTTTGAGACTGAGCATAGGCCAAATTTGGAAAGCCTCGAGGAGCTGGAAGGTGCATAGACTACTGGTTTAGGGGGACGGGGGAAAATTGGATTTGGAAGTAAAAAATATGATCCTTGTCATGGAGAAAATTTGATGACACTGTTACCTACAGTAATGTGGAAAAGAGAAAGCAAAGCTAAAAACTAGTGGATCTAGAAATTTCCTAGAACAATGCTGAAGTTGCCAATCTATTTTTTTTTTTGAGCTACTTATGATGAGCTGTGGATAGAGAGATATAAGCTTTTTAAAAAAAGAAAATTTGCAATGGTTAAACATTTTTAAAAGGTAATATAAAGGAGGCAGGACTTAATGGGTTTTAAAATAACAGCAATCCCATCCCCACTCCCAGCTCCAAATCATATCTAAAATATATTTTAGGGCACAGTATCTACCTGACAGAGACCCTGAATGTTGAGCTTCTGAGGAGGCAGATCTAACATGCAACCGGCTTTACAAGTTGGCAATACCCTTCAGGGAGTGTTAGGGAAGCCACGGCAGGAACAGAAGTAGGAAAAATTGGAAGGTTAAACAAAAAGGAACACTCAGCTGAATCACCTAGTTAGAAAATTTTAAGAAAATGCTCATTGGGCTTTCCCTACCACTAGAAAGAAAAATAAATAATAAAAACTGACAATAAAGATGCAAAGAGCTAATTTGCAGTTTCAATTTGTTTTTCTGAATGGTGCCTCTTAGGTATTTTATGAAGGGTAAATTACATTTGAAATGAAATCTTTTAAATGGGTTATCTTTTGGGTGGTTATTTTGCACACCTTTAAAATGCATTTTACTTATTTGTGGCGGGTGGGGTACAAAGATGAATTCTGAAGAAGTTGAGAGGAAAATAATTTCAGGAGGTAATGGATGAACTTGGTCTGGAAGATTAATCAGGGCAGTTGCAAGAGAGTGCCGAATGCATAGCTGGAGTAGAACTAAATATCTGATTGTAATTAAAACTTTAGGTTTCTAATGGCTGCATGAAAGATATTTTAATAAACGTGAAATGCACTTTCTAAATGGCACGCTAACTTTTAATGACTTGGGTGTTTTGTTTGATTAGTAACCTGGACTGTTAAATTAAAGCCAACTGCAAGTGCATGATAAAATATTGATGGTTTCAGGCAAATGAATTGGGGGAGTTATGCTTGACAGACTTTTTGTATCATTAAGGATTTTAACTGGTGGAAAATATATATTGCTGGTGCTTAAAGATAGTTAAAGAGGATCTTCCTGTTTATATGACCTCGTTTTAATTTTACAGTAATAATAAGGGGGAAATCTGAATTATTCACAGATGGTTGGTCAAGAGAGGTCACTTAATTAAAAAAGTGTTATTTTAATTACACCTGTTTCACATTCCTGGAATAGGAAATTAAATATTTGGAAGCATTTGATTATTTCTGTTTCACAGCATACCTGGACTTCTGCTGACTCTTATGAAGACCTGAGATTATTGTGTGAGCCTTTTACTTCTTGTTAGTAAGGAGTTTTGTTTTAAGATTCAGGATTTTAAAAATAAGTGCTTCACTGATAGTTTCAAAAATAATGCAAGAAAGAAATATATATAAATATAAGTATATGTATCTATACATATGCCCAATTTCACAGGCATATGTATAAATATATTGTATGTAATATATTCTTGTACATGCAGATAATTTTCTAGGAGGATATGTAAGAAAATACGAGTCAGGATTATTTCTATGGAGTCAAGCTGTGGAGTCAAAGGGAGGGAAGTTTATGTCTTTATTTTTTGTGAAATGTGAATATGTTTTGTATCAAGAATACTTTAGTTTTATCAAAAATTTCCCATTGGGGGGAAAAAAAAATTTCCCATTGAAACCCAGATTCATCTTTTAACAATTCAGTTGTCCTTTTTCATGTCAATGCCCCATAATAGAACATTTTGTTGATTCTACCAGATGATATGGTTAATTTTAAGGAATTTTTTTGATAAAGTTCGAATAAGTTCACTTCCATCCCTTAATCCATTCATTAGTCCTGAGATATTTAGTGCTCTGTGACTCTTAGTACTTTATAAAGCCCAAATAAAAGTAGTGTTTTATAAAAGAGACCCAAGCAGCATTCTTAAGGAAGCTTTGTCTCTGATAAGACTTGAGCCGTGTGAAAGAAGGCCAAAGGGGAAGCTGGAGAAGATGGAGGAGTTTGGGGCAGGCTATTAGGACGGTGATTCGGGAGGGCCAAAGTACTGTGTGCCGAGATCTTCCCTCGCATACAAGGAAAACATTAGTGTCTACTCCATTCAGGAGGGGCTTGCCAAGTCCCAGAAAGACCCTGAGGAGTGGTGACGGAATGACCAGCTCCTCTCCATGGTGTTGACCTATGGGGACTTTAGGAGATTGAAGACAACGGAGATTCCTGGACAGTATTTCACACACATGGACACATGGACATACACACATACACACCTCTACTATTGTTGTCCACTAAATGACTGACCATCAGGGAGGCAAAGGATATAAAATTAATTCAAGTGTTGCCAGTTACTTATGTTATTCTGGGCTACTTTCTATACCTCTCTGGGCCTTTTGATTGCAAGATGAAGATATTTCTTCTATATCAGAGTTGTTAAGGTCAACCCTCAACTAGTACCCAACAAAGTTTCTTTTTTTTGGTACTGGGGGGTTGCACCCAGGGCCTTTGCACTCAGCTGTATCAGCAGTTTTTTAAATACATTTTTATTTTAAATGCACTTTTATTTTTATTAGTACATGTTTGCAATAACACTATAGATTTTAGGAATGGAAGTGAGAATGGAGGAGAGCACCCACTAGACAAGTGCTTTGCCTCCAAGCAAATCCTCACCCAGAATTAAGGCTTTAAGCATTAGGGTGTAAGCGAGCTTTATTTTGTTAGAAGATATCCATACAGGGGAAAACTTTCTAATAAGCCGATCTTCCCAACCACAGAAAGAGAAGTGAGCTCTTTTCAACTAGGTTATTCAGGTAGTTAACTGACTGGTGAACACTGGGTGCTGTGTAACTGTTCTGAACTTGGATACTGTCTATCACACAAGTGTTGGACAATCCTGTATTTCTTTCAATTTTGAAATTCTACAGTTCAATTAAAATTGCCGGGTGGCTATGCCACATATGTTGTCCCCACAAGCAGACATATGTATGAAACTATGAACAAATTCTGGGATTCTGTACCATGCAGAATGTTATCTATAGAGCTATTATATTTGAGCTTTCTAAAGTTATATAGCACAATACCATATTTCCTTGAAAACAAGATTGGATTTTATATTAAATTTTGCTTCAAAAGACGCAATAGGTCAAGGCCAGCCTGGGCTACAAAGTGAG